GCTACAAATTAGGGGCAGAGAGTGCAAAGTGTTCGATGGTCCATCCATCCTCAACCAGCTTATCGCTGAATGTTGCTTGCACGCCTGCTTGAGTAAGCAACTCAGCCAGTGAAGCCATGAAATGTCCCACCACAGATGGACTGACGCAAGAAAATCTACGACGCGGAAACTGAATAAATTGGTTGCATGTTGAGGTGGTGATAGACCATTGGCCGGAGAATGCTGATTAGGGTGAATGGCAAAAAAACCAAACTGGGTTTGAGAGTCAATGCATTATTGAGGTACCTGGATATAGCAGTGGGATGATAAAAGGTATTCCCAGGAATCCAGTCTCTGTGATTCTTGAGTTGGGGTAGTAGACACTAAAGTTTTTTTTCGTGCTCAAATGCACGATTGAGTTGCTGAGCCAACGCATATGAACATACGCATCAGTCTTCAATCTTGAATGACTGGATATAGGAGGGTACTCGACCCTCACGCTGATCACCAACATATGTGTGCCTGTCTCTGCTCAAGAGAAAGCCACAATTGAACGCTGTGAAAGCATGCATTCCCCCACATGAATTCCCTGGGATAAAACAGATAACCAGGAACTTGTGGATGAAATGGAAATGCAACTGTTTGCACATGTAAACTGTTTGAATTGACTCCGATGCCGCTCTGCAGTATCCCCCCTCAGGACAAGCGCTGCACAACTCTTTTTGGAGACCTGATTGCAATTCCACAATGTATTCAGTCGAGTCGTATCGTGGTGAATCCTTTGCGACAGCCAACATGGCTGCACAGGGTTTGGCCGGATGCTAATTGGAGATCCATACCCACCTGAATGCGTGGCTTTGGCAAAAGCTTACCGCATGCTGTCTTGACAGCTTGATCCTGCCAAGTGGGCAAGTCGGTGGACGTGGCCTGACATGGGACCATAATGTGCCATGTCTTTCGATGCAATCCCAGCAGGGCTTCATCGGCTGCGGCCGCTGGATCCTGGGGTTGACCTGTGGTGACACTTCGGTGCTGTCCTGTGCAAGAATCATCGGAGCTTTCATCACTACATCATGAAGAAGATGATGAAGGTGGCATGATGTTCATCCTCATGGACTTGGGTCTGTTCAGCCTGGGGCCCAATGTCAGCAAACAACTGCAGTTGAGAGCCAGTCTGAAATTTGAAGAACTTCCATTGAATCTGCGGCAAATCTTTGCGAAATCCTTCCATGATGAAGTGAGGCTCCAACAGAGGTGCCTGACCACCGCGGCCCAATGGTGTGGTAGGTCTCCAACCTTGCACGATTTTGGTTGTTAATGCAATTTGCACACGCAAACTACCTTCAATGTCATCCCTGGAAAACAATTGAACACTCATTTGAGCTGGTTTGTGCTTGCCATGCAGTCGACGATCTGATTCTGGCAAATTGGCCTGTGATGCCCATGAGAGCAGTGTAGCCTTGAGGCCATGGATGGTGTAGTTGGACGCATCCAAGATCGCTGGAGTCGAAACAACCCAAGGAAGTGTCATGTAGTGCCTCAAGTGATATAGTGCCTCTGAGTATGTCATTGCATAAAACGGCTGCACTGGTTGGTCCCCGTCTTGAAATGATGGTATGGCAAAATCAATCTGCGAAGCGTCTTGATCAACATAGAATGATTCCAAAGTGCAAAGACAACGGTGGACCCATGTCAAAGTACCTTGTGAAAGGAATCCTGACAGTATTACGCCAAATGGGGTGGCTGTGTCGTCTTGGCGCGCAACGTCAACCCTCTCAATGATGCATCTGTGAGTTGCCATGTCGCCAATGTCGACCTCTGCAAGTCGCCCTTAATCCTGACCAACAGAGCAATAGGAACCCCCCCAAAATGGCAATCTCTTTGGCAGAAGCTTGGGATTGAAGGATGCGACGTTCCCATTTCATCAAGATAAATAAAGGGAATGGCAGGCTCTCTTTACGATCTGCTGGAATCTTCTGCTTCTCAAATGAGTTGACCAGGGAAAAAATGCACATGAGAAGTAATGAATCCCTAAATGTTTACATGCCCATCGCATCGCCTTGATGGTAACAGAGCTTTTGGGGCCGGAGCCATCTGATCTTCTGGCCAATGCTCCACAAATCAGTAAATCTGCCAAGTTAGAACCTGACAGTGATTCAAAACTCACATGCATGTCTCTGCACAGCTGCACAAATTGCATCAAAGCGGATAGATACCTGACCAGGGTCGTGGCTGCAAACTGGTTCAAAAACCTTGCTGCATATTCATCTGGAAACTGGCTGCTTTGCAATTGCTGGATTACTGTAGAAAAGTGATGAAATTCGGCTATTGAACGCTGCCATAGTTTCCAAACCATCGGAGATTCTGAAGAAATTCGCACACGAGTCAGCTTAGCTGTGGCGGCAGCCCGTCCAGAGAATGCTGAACCCGGTTTCAACAGCCGAGGTCTCCCTGCACTGGTTGAATCCGGCTGGACATCCACAGTTGGTTCTACGGCAGATGACTTCTGTTGCCTCTGATCCCTGTAGCAATGAAATATCTGATGAAGAACCAATGGACTCCAAATCTCTGGATGAATGTACTGGACATGGCAAAGATGAACCGTACTGAATCTGTGTCTCTGTGGCACTGGCCGGATGCTGTGGTGCTGACGCAGGGGCTGAAGCTGCGACACCTGAAATGGCGAGGGAATGCAGGGGCGAACAGACCTACTCAGAATTGATGGTACCGGCAAAGGTGTTACATCTGGAGTAAGTAACGTCCAACTGGACAAGCTGTCTAATTCATCTGTGTTTTCCCCAGCAAGTAATGAATCATCCGGATCCATCCGATGCTTCGCCCGATGCCACGGATGGTGTGTCAACTGTCCGAAAGGTCAATGTCCTTCGCAAAAGAAAACTGCAACTCTGGGCAAAGTGTTCAGTGTCCACTGTGAATCTGGCTTCTTCGTCCGCTAGAAACAGAACAATGGCAATGAATGGACGAGCTGTTGGAAGATGTCCGAAAACCAGATACAAATTGGCTGAGGGCCGGATCAACCCACGAGATACTATCGCTAATCTGCCATGGCTGGGTCGCTGGGGACGCTGCATGCAGGTGAAGCCAAGCACTTAGCTGTCTAATGACAAATCTGTTCAACCCCTGAATACAACCATGTTTAGCCCCTGGAGAGTGGAGTGGAATGCCAAAAGCGGAAAGTGAAGTGACTTTAGTCCTACCAGTTGGTTTCATGGTGAATGTCTGTGTTGTGAAAAAAAAGTGGTGAGCGAAATCCGCAAGGCAAACACAAGTAAACCTGAGAAAAAAACAAAATGCAAAACGCCCAAAAGTAATGAATGCCACCTTGAGCCAACATGTTCGTGGATATTGGAACATTAATGAAGTACCCCAATTAAACATAACTGAACGATTACAGTTAACATTGTTTTTCTTTCATGCTGGTGCATGTTTCTCATGGGCTCAGTTGTGATATAATGCGACAGTTCATCTACTTGTGATGATTAAATTTCAATTAAAGGACCGGAAAACCCCACAAGGCAACTTCTTCCAATAATGAGCACCACATGTTGTAGCGGGAACGGGGAAAGAAGGAAAGACAAAGGAGGTGGTGGAGGATCGAGAAGTAAAACGAAATTGTGTGAAAAAGTTGTATGTGAAAGATGGTGTGTGTATGTGACAAAGTTGTGTGAAAAAGATGGTGCGTGTGTGTGAAAGTTGTATGTGTGAAGAGAGCGTGTGACAAAGTATGCGTGAAAGATGGGGTGTGTGTGTGTGTAAAAGAGAGCGCGTGACAAAGCTGGGTGTGAAAAATGGTGTGTGACAAAGTTGTGTGTGAAAGATGGTGTGTCAAAGATGGTGTGTGTGAAAGATGGTGTGCGACAAAGTTGTGTGTGAAAGATGGTGTGTGACAAAGTTGTGTGTGAAAGATGGTGTGTGACAAAGTTGTGTGTGAAAGATGGTTTGTCAGAGATGGTGTGTGAAAGATGGTGTGTGACAAAGTTGTGTGTGAAAGATGGTGTGTCAGAGATGGTGTGTGAAAGATGGTGTGTGACAAAGTGGTGTGTGTGAAATGGTGTGTGACAAAGTGGTGTGTGAAAGACGGTGTGTGACAAAGTGGTGTGTGAAAGACGGTGTGTGACAAAGTGGTGTGTGAAAGATGGTGTGTGACAAAGTGGTGTGTGAAAGACGGTGTGTGACAAAGTGGTGTGTGAAAGACGGTGTGTGACAAAGTGGTGTGTGAAATATGGTGTGTCAAAGATGTGTGAAAGATGGTGTGTGACAAAGTTGTGTGTGTGAAAGATGGTGTGTGACAAAGTGGTGTGTGAAAGATGGTGTGTGACAAAGTGGTGTGTGAAAGACGGTGTGTGACAAAGTGGTGTGTGAAAGACGGTGTGTGACAAAGTGGTGTGTGAAATGGTGTGTGTCAAAGATGGTGTGTGTGAAAGATGGTGTGTGACAAAGTTGTGTGTGTGAAAGATGGTGTGTGACAAAGTTGTGTGTGAAAGATGTTGTGTACAAAACTTTGTGTGTGAAAGATGGTGTGTCAGAGATGGTGTGTGAAATGGTGTGTGACAAAGTGGTGTGTGAAATGGTGTGTGACAAAGTGGTGTGTGAAAGAGGGTGTGTCGAAGATGGTGTGTGGACCAGAACAGACAGGCATGGGTTCCTGGCCGCGTGCATAACGCAGCCTATGCCAACCGACAGAAAATGAGACCTCAAGGTAAAGACAAGAGTTCCCACCCAAATCCGTTAGAAGTTTTACATCTATTCAGATGATTCTCACACACACACACACATCTGCAGCCAGGTGCTGTCAGTGACACCGTCCGTGGCAACTTCATAATATCTTCGTGGGGCCATCTTTTTAAATATGATTGGAGATAAAGTCAGGAATTGAACAGCCCCAGAATAGCATCTCATCTCCGCATCTTGACCCAACGTTGGATGAGAAGGTTGCTGTCTCCAGTATTTTCTCTTGGAGGGCTTTGGTTCGAAAACGGTTTGACAGCTGAGGCAGCGACGGCAAGGAAGCTACATGCCATGGATCCCAACACCAACGCAATGTCGCTGAGAACCTCGTCCCCATTGCCACCTCCACCACCACCATGAAGCATACGAGGAGGTGCCTCTGTGAGAGGTGCTGCGCAAGGGTCGGTGAAAACTTCTGTGCTCGATTTCTCAGCAGCTGACAGAAGAATATCAGCCAGCGTCACAATGTAGAACAAAGGAAGGCAAAGGAAGCCGACAAGAGACATTGCAGCCCGCGAACCGCCTCCATTCCACACAGAATAGTATTGGTACCGAATCAAGAGCCGGACAGGTCCCAATCCATTTCCTGGGAGCATTCTATATGATCCTGTGAAACCCACAAATATCAATACTGCCAGAATCATGCAACCTGCCCCAGAGGCATAGGCAAAATAATACCCCTCTTGCTGCGGAACCACGCCAGCAAGCCCATCTGTCGTTGTGTTGGCAAGGAAGCCAAAGGCTATCAAGACACCAATGTTGACGGACAGGTAGAGGAGGGAAAAGAATGTTTTTTGACACTCTCTTTGTTTCTCAGATGCATTTCCAATTTGGTCCGCACCAAAGTTTGCTAAGTTGGGCCTGATACTACCACTTCCCATAGCAATCAGCACCAGGCTGCCCACAATGAATAGCCATCCAAGGGCAGCTTGAAGTTCGTAGATCACAGAAATGCCGACACAAATGGTCCCAATGGCATAAACGCTGCCAGCAGCGATGATGGCTTTGTAGCGACCGATTGAGTCTGCCAGCAGACCACCAGGTAAGCACCAGAAAGAGCACAACATGTTGAAGATGGCATTCAACGCAGCGGAAGTGGATGGCATCTTCTTCAGTTGGTTCTGGAGATAGATCTTTTGGGTGCCTGCTAGGGTATAATACGTGAGCCGCTCACAGAGCACAAGAAGCAGTACTCCAACCACTGGCAACTTTCTGATCTTCAAACCAGCATAATTTTCAAGCTCCGACTCAGAATCTGGCTCGGAATCAGATTCCGAATCATTTGTCATGTGCACAGCAACGCGACTCACAACAGCTAACGAAAGAACGGCACCGTACTGGCCCTCTGGCCCTCCACAACCTACCCATGCTTGGACCGAACAAGACAAATGTTGCATTTTCTGGTAGCAAGGAATTCTCAGGAGTGTCAAAATCCTTGCAAAAGATGTCAATTATACCAAATCAAAGACCTGTGACATGTTTCTGTTTCCTCGAAGACAAAAAACAATAAACCCAGGTGCTATCCCCGACAGCTTGAAAGCTACTGCCTTTTTGCCATAAAAAGTGCTTATACTTATACCATAAAAATTACGCGCTTATGCCATAAACATTAAGTGCCTATGCCATAGAAAAACATCGGAACCCGGAACCCTTTGGATTTTCAGAAAGCATCTGCACCAGAACCCTCAACCTCACAAGGTATCTGCACCAAAACCCTCCGGAACCTCACAAGGTATCTGCACCGGAACCCTCCGGAACCTCACAAGGTATCTGGCCCGGAACCCCACGGAACCTCACCACATATCTTCACCTAGCCCCTCCGGTACCTCATCACGTAACTGCACTGGAAACTTCCGGAACCTCACCAGCTACTTGCACCAAAACCCTCTAGAACCTAACTTCCGGAACCTCACAAGGTATCAGCACCAGAACCTCCAGAACCTTGTCCGGAACCTGGTGTTGCAGCTGCACACGATCGCACCGGAACTAATCTGGGCTAAAGACCCCATAGCAAAGTTTTGCTGTTTGGGAAAAATCTGAAGCTGAACTCCGGGCCTATTTTTTCTTTCTGCACACTGGGCACGGTTGCTTGAAAAGGCCTTGTAAGAAAAGGTGGCAAATTATCCGCAAACTTCGCTGCAAAAAAAAATGGATTTTTGAGGCTGAATTTGACGGAAAGCCTCTGAGCATCTGACGCTGCCCACAAGTGAGACACGCAGCCATGTGCCCACACGGCACGAAAACCGTCAACTCCGTGGAGTCCTTTGGAAGATGCAATGGTTTTTTTTCCAAACGTCTGAGCGTAGGGTTCTTCTATAAAATTACACCAGCATCGACCCCAAACAGCACAAGTTTCAAAAAAATCACATGTCAGCTCTGTGTCATGCGCATAGGTTTCTTTGGTTCCCGTGTATGGGTTGTGCAGTGTCATGTCCATAGATCTTAGGTTGTGTGTGTGTTTTTTTTTTGCGCCGCCTTGCCCCCCCGGCCGATGTTTCCAATCAAATATCATTTTGTTGTGGATAGTTGCACATGTAATGTTATGTACATAAACTACCGTGCTGGTGCGCCGATATACTATTGCAATGTTATGGCCATAGATTATTCCATTTGTATTAGCATAGAATAGCTTGGTTTCATGTCTGGCCATGACTGCGCTATATAGGGATAGACTATTGCGCTGTGATGTCTCGAGATTCTAAAGATAATTAGCGGCTGGCGTGGTCATAGGATATTGCAATCTTGTATACGTAGATTAGTTTGGCTTTATATCTCTAAGCAGGAAACAAAGTGGGAGACAAGGCCAGATCCATGTCGTGACAAGATCTCACAGAGCAGTGGGAGATACCCTGGGAGACGAACCAGATCCATGTCGTGACAAGATCTCAAAAACAGCCGCGCCACTCAGCGCCCCTTTTATGCTGTCTCTTTCGAGCCACTGTGCGTCAGAAGAATATGCACTTCTCGATTTGTGCTGTGTCATCAGCAACTCAGCCACGCTAATCTTCTGTATCGTTCCATGTGCCAAGTGAACCTGAATCTACCTCATGACCTGTACATGAGTGCCATAAATCAAATGTGACACCCCACCTTGACAAAGATATGTGAATTTCTTTGTCACATCGTTGTGCTTCTCACATGTAGTTTGATCTATACAAGACCATCTGTGCTAGAGATTCTACCGTTGGCACCTTGGAAAAAAATCCCAGACTGGTACTGGGTTGCTACCACCACACGCACTGATTGCACTCCATGCAAACCAGTTCAAGCTATGTCCATCAATGCTTCGACATCGTTCAAAGCTCGTAGGTAGTTGGCAGCTTCTTCCCAGTTTCCTTCATTGGCAGCTAGCTGCTGCCCTGTTCAATCGGATCCTGTTGGCTCTTGAGAATGCCACCATCCTCTCATAGGCAAATTGGTCCAAGTGTCCATACTGGACACCTGCCCATTCATCTGGTTCCGAAACTTCATCTTGTGAACTGTTGAGATACCGAACGTGGCGCTCCTCCAACGATTCACCAGGCATGTCCACATCATCATTGATGTCGCTGGGAACTTCTGCTGGAGGTTAAAATGCACCATTGATCAGATCCAGTCTTCGACCATTCAACGCCATGTCCACAATGTCATCTCCATTATTGTCACCATCGTCTCCCCCATCCACAGAGGGATCGTTTCCTGCACTTTTTTCTTCTTCATCTTCCACATGATGCATCGGTACATCAATTGGATCTCTGGGTGGATTGGCTCTGAACAGTTCACCATTCAGATACTCATTGAGATCTGCATGAATTGACTCAATGTCCACCATCATATCTCCAGTTTGACCAGCTGCTCGGAAACGCTCGTGCAAATACTTGATCTCACATCCAAGCAACCATCGGGCCAATCTCAAAGAAGGTTGGAGGAAAAGTCTGTGCCTCCATCCCATCGTTTTGGCTGGGTGTTTCAGTTCGATCCACCGTGTTGTGATACTGTATGTCCAGGTCAGCGGTCCCAAATAAATGAAAATCACGCTCACCACCAGCATCATCACACCAATTGTCAGGATGAAGTACCTGCACATCGTCACGCTCAATGTAGCCACCATTTGAATTGAAGACACCATCAGCTCATTCATGAAATCTGTCATCATTGCCCATTCAGATCCACTGTTGTCCACTTCGGTAATGGATCCTGAGCTGCATCCTTTCAGTTGAGCACTGAGTCCAAGAGTAGCTGCTCGCATCTTTCTAATCTCACTGTCGTCGTTCTCCTCGTCCAAGCTGGACATGTAGATCCCAATCAGCCGTCCAAGGAACTTTCGCCGCTCACCACTCAACTTCTTTGTGTTGAGGTCACCAGGATTCAGCTTCGTGTTGATCTTGTGCACAGTGAAAATACCAGCTCTCAAAAGATTCTGCAAGAAAAATTGCTTGATCTGAACATGCTTCAGCCTTCCAGTTCCTGCACGTTGCATCAGCGCCATTGCTGATGAGGAATCAATGTAGAGCCTCTGTTGTACATCACTGCTGTTTGTTTCGCTGCGATCGTTGCAAAGGAATTTGCACAGCCTGTAGAGAAACATGCATTCAACCATCAGACCATTTGCAGCGTAGAGCTCAGCCTCACAACTGGATAGAGCTACACTCGCCTGTGTTCGGCAAATGCTGAGAATCAAGGCACCATTCAGGAATACCAAACCTGATGAGGTACTCTTCCGAGTTGCCTTGCAATCTGCCCATGAACTGTCACTGAACGCTTCCAAGTTGAAACGAGCTTCAGATTGATCGTTGGGCACATCCACCTCGTTGTCAATCACCTCATCATTTCTCCATCCATCAAAGATGCACTGATTCTCATCTGTACTTTGCAAGAAAAGTCCATCGTCAGCTGAACCATCCAGGTATGAAGCCAAATGCTTCAATGCAGAAAGCGCTTTGACACTGAGTCGTGCCATGTAGGAGGACAGGGTCTTCACAGCAAACTGGATATCTGGTCGGTCCATCGCCAGATATAGAGCCAAACCCAGACCTGATCGGAAGACTGCTGCTTGCTCATCGTTCAACATCTCCCCTTCAATCACCAGGTCTGCACTAAAGTTTTCCAACGTTGCATGGTATGGCAACCCTTTCTTTCTCCTCCCACTCACTTTCATCAACGCCACCAGTTTTGGGATGTAGGTGGAATTGGGTTGAAGCAAGATTCCACCCGGCCTCATCGTGATCCTCTTCTTGAGATACATCAACTGGCTTCCACTTCCAGGCGCATGTGGTCCATCAGCCTTCATTGTGAGTGTTGCACCCACTGTAGACTGAAACCACTCAACATCACCAGGAATGCATACCAGCAAAATGTCATCAACGTGAATGTTCACCAACACCTTTCGACTGAGATCTCGGTGACGTAGAATTGTTGGAGCACCAGGGAATGCCTCCAACTCAGCCTGTTCGCACAAACCTCCAATGTGTTGATGCCACCGTAGTGCTGCATTGCGTTGTCCCGGCAAGCACCTTTTCAGAAGCCAATGGGTATGTGGATTTCCAGTCCATTTGCGAATCCACATTGGAATCTTCACATAGAGAACTTCCATCTGAGGCACCATCAAGAATGCATCCTTCACATCCAATGCTGTCACTGCCAAGTTGTAAATGATTGCAAACGTAAGCAACATGCGAACTGAGGCAAATGAAGATGTTGGAGAGAAGTTGTTCTCATCAGTGGCACTTGTTTTGAATTCTCTAGCCACTATTCTGCACCTCCGGATCCATTGCTGACCTCTGAATCTCCAGTCGTACACCAGAGTGGTGTCCACCACATTTTCAACCATTGCAGCATCTTCAGACAAAGTAACTGGTTCAATCACGTCCATCTTGAAAAGCTTCTCAACTTCATCAAGTGCTGCCTGCTCGTCCAGCTCTTGCAATTTCTCTGAGCTGACATTTGGTGGACCATCACCTTCTCCATGACCAGCAATGAGATCATCTTCGGAATCAGGTACCAAAGCATCGTCCTCGAAGTCCTCTGGAAACATACTTTCGTCATTGTGGCATTTCTCCATCTCTGCCACTTGATTGATGTTCCCTTCTGTTCTACTTGCCTTTGTTTTCGGCACAGGCACTGGATCATCATGCATCCGTTGTGTCTTGGGATGTTCACCAGGGAGAGGAGTATCTGCTGCATGCTTTGCAGGCCTTGTTGAACTTCAAGGAATTTCCACATCCTCATCGCTCTGCGCATCAAACTGTGGGGTTATTGGCGCACCCCCACCTTGCTCAGACTCCATCTCTGTCTGTGACTGCACTTCTGTCATTGGAGAAACGGGATTGTCCAGACCTGCTCCCTCCCATGTT